GTTGAGTCATTGTTTTCATATTTTCCTTTAATTCTTTGAACATAGTTTGTTTTAGTTCTTTCAACATACTGTTTGGAAATTCATGTCTGTTAACAACTGGGCGTACTTGAGGGATTATTCCACTATTGTCTTTTCTTCCTGAACATAGGTTACACATTCCTATTTCATCACACTTTATTTTCTGTAACTGGACAGATTGGATAATGTATTGTGGCAACTCTGAATTCTTACTTTGCCTCCAAATGTTGGTCTTGATTTTGTTTACTAACTTGCTAAATTCATTCAATCTGCCTCACACTGTGTGTCCCCAGTGATGTCTTTGCTCAGTTTTTGTTTAGGTTTTTTTCAAAATGTCACTTCTAAGTCTGGCCTTATAAAGGTCATCCTGTATTTGTACAGGTTAATGCTTAGCCAGTGGTTAGGAAGATGTTATGCTCAAATATCCCAAGCTCATGGATCCACATGTAAGTAGCAAGAGCACACTGAAAGTTTAGGCTTTTTCAAATCTGTCCCAGCTTTTACTTTCCATTGCTCTTTTTTGTCGCCTTCAAAAAGTGCAGTCTCAAGGACAACAAGGAGTGTGTGAACACAGGGCCCTCTCCTCACTCTGTCTTACCTATACGTGGCCCTGGCCAGGGATATATTTACCTCAATCACAACCATTATTTCAGGCTGGTAGGGCTGTTAGCCATCCTGCTCTCCAGTCACCAAGAATATCACGTTTACCAACAGTGCTGCTGAATGTGGGCACTGCCCATTGCTCCAGATCTAGTGAGCACCCTCAATGGGCAGCAAAGCTGCCAAGCCTCATAGCCCACCTCTGAACAAAATGAGCTGCAGTGGAGGTAGAAGAAGGAGAATGACAACCTCCAGGAAAGAGCACTACAGACTCCTGCTGTTACCCAATTCAGGGCAGGAGGGAGGAGAAAAGACGCAACAAAATTTAACATACACAGAGTATTCCTGGAACCACAGGGTCTTGTTTCCAACTTCAGAGTGTTCCTAAAAATAAATTTTCTAAAGACAACTTTAAAAAGCAGTAAGTTATGGTTACAAACTCATGGGACTGAAATATTCAACAATTCTAATGTTATGCCATTGGATACTTGCAGTTTAGGATAAATATCTACAGATAGCATAATGCTGAGATCTGAAAACTACTGTATTTCAAATGGACTACAGTGAAGATGATGTTCTCTGAAAACCATGTAAAAATAAATTAAATAATAATCAGTGTGGTGGCACATGCCTGTAATCCTAGCACTTAGGAGGCAGAGATGGGAAGATTGCATGAGTTCCAGGCCAGCCTAGAATACAAAGTAAGTTCAAGGCCAACCTGGAGCACACAGTGAGACCCTGTCTCAAAAAAAACAAAAACAAAAACAAAAGATAACTTAATTAGCTAATAAGCAAAGACTGGCATAACATCAAAACATGCACACTGGATGTGTCTATACTTAAAATAAATCAAGATCAATTAAAAGAAATGAGATTGGGTGCTTAAAAATTAATGTTTTCCATGGTTAAGTTTAATGAGAACTTAGACCTGCTGATAAATCATGCAGAACTAGTAGCCTGAGTGTGCTGGTTAGAGTAACATGGAATAGGTAATAAACAAGAGGTGCCCTTCAGCCCTGAGCAAAAAGATGCAATTTCTTAAGCCTCTGGGACCCTAAATTACTTTCCCCTGGAACTCAGTCTGACACCCTTTCTTCACTCTTAGATAACTTGATAGTGTGAGTGGGAGTTACTCTCCAATCTGACTTGTTCCAAAAAACTACATAATCTAGAATCAAACAACCTTTCCCTTCTCTCCAAGGTGTTTCCTTTCTCCTCAAGGCCGCAAGTGTGTGTTGCGGGGGGGGGGGGGAATGGCACAGAATTAAGAGGTTTCCAAAAATCAAAGACAGGAAGATGCATTAGTGAATCTTTGGAGTCTAAAGTTCTACTTACCCAATTTCTTTGTAGATTTGGAAGAAAGATGTTCATTTCCCTTCTAAGAGAAATAACTGGTAGCTGCCTCTTAGACATTTCCCCATGCCCCATTATAAACAAGTCTGTGATGAAAAGTTTCAGCAAACACACATACAGACATGTACAAATACACATATATACTCTCCCAGACATCTCTCTCGTCAGAGATCTTCAATGACCCATCTGTGAAGTTCTGGCAGAGTTAAGAGAAGATCTCACACCTTCTGATTCCCATTCCAGCACTCATTCCATTCCATCACTCTGATAAATCATTCTTTCAAGCCCTCAGTATGAGTGACAACAGCTGCCTGCTGCAATAACCTTTTCTATTAACAAAAAAACCCACTGAATGAACTTCAGCCATTCAAACTTCCTTCTCAGAGTCTCTATCATCTGATATGTGGATGAGGTTCATAGAGGGGCATGTAGCTAGGCTGGGTGATCAAGGTCTTCTGCCTGTCTACCTGTATTTCCCCCTTCATACCCTCACAGTAGGACTTATCTGTGTTCATTCCAAAAGGCAGGGTAAGTGCCATCATCCATAATCCATCTCATCCTTCACCCTCAAACTTGCTTAGTTGGCATATGCACAGCTGGCTACCCATGCACAGCATGGCTTGAGCCTAACACTCCAGAAGGGTTGGTTGGAAGATGTGAACACATGTTTAGTTAAAACTAAATCTCTAGGAATAGATACAATTTACTTGCTACAAATACCAAGTAAAATCAAACTTAGTTATCAAACAACTTGGATTCTTTCTCTCACTTTTGAATGAGATGACTCAGATTGAGTATGCTAGCAAAGAATAAATGTGTCTCACATTTTTCTTTGGACAGTACTCTCTTGGAAAAATAATTCATAGTATAATTCAAGTCCCCTTTTCTACTCTTTATTCGTACCTCAGGAAACTAGAAAATTCCATAAATAGCCCATTGATTTAGGTAAGCTAAAACAATCTTCTCCAAAGCATGAGACATCAAGGGTATAAGAAAAGGAGCAGACAGGAATAACATCTGCTAGATAAGAATAATACTGGCTACAAATGAAGACAGAAAACAGGATTCAGATCTATAAACATAACCAGTAAAAAGTAAACACAACTTGGGGACAAAGAGCAATATGGTAACTGAGCCAGAGAAAGGTTTAACTTTAAATCAGAAATCTGACATGAAAGGTCAGGCATGTTTTACCCCTAACAATATAAACCATTCTGAGATATTCATGTTAATATAGGAAATACAGGAGAAAACTGTGACATGCCTCATTCCTGGCACAGATCAAAAAGCAGTAAATTAGGGATAAAAATCCCTCTAGCTAAGAATGTAGATAAAAATACTAGTTAAGAGCAAAAGCAAGTTAAACTACTTGCCACTAGAGGATGAAAGTAACAGCACCATGTCCCTGTGAACTGAAGAAAACAAACTCATAACCTTCTAGAGCCTGGTAGTGTGCAAGAAGTGCTTCCAGAGAAATGTATACCACTTACCCTAGCTAAGAAAGTTACTTAAGTTAAGGTCTTAGTTTCTTGTAAAAACAAATTATTTTACTTATCATGTAGGATTAAGTATGATATGAGAGAATTTTTTTTTCAGTACCTGGAATTGAACGCAGGACCTTGCGCTTGCCAGGTAGGTGCAGCGCCACTGAACTAAATCCCTGGCCCCCAGATGAGAGAATTTATAAGAAGGTTCCTAAAACAATTCTTTGTATTAAACATGTTTTATTTTCTATGAAGACACTCCAAGTTCTTACTGTTACAGTGGAAGAAAACAGGGCTAATTTTTAAGGTTTTCTTACTTGCTTTTGCCATGATAACAGAATTGCCAAAATGAAGAACTTTGTTATGGCTTGTATCTAGATGTCCCCTCAAAGTCTCATGTGGTCATAGGTGAGGCTTTTCTGAGGTGGTTGGATCTAGGGTGTGTGATGCTGGGATCAAGGGTGTGATGCTGGGACTGATTCATGGTACAGTGCTAGGATTAAGCCTGCCCTACCCTGGATATGATATAAGAGGCAGAAAGAGGGTCACTGCTTGCTGCTTGTTGCTTGCTGCTTCTCTGCTACTTTGCTGCCTTCTACTCACAATGAACTATTTCTCCTTTGTAATGCCCATCTGCCATACCACCCTGTCTTGTAGTCAGCCAACTATGAACTGAAAGCTCTACAAACTGTGAACTAAATAAACTTTTCCTCTTTTAATTTTGGGTGTCAGGTATTTTGTCTCAGGAACAAGAGAAAAAATAACTAAGACCTGATCAAAGTTTAGTTTAAAATTGAACGTTACAGGGCCGGGGATTTAGCTCAGCGGCACTGTGCTTGCCTTGCAAGCACAAGGTCCTGAGTTCAATCCCCAGTACCAAACAAAATAAAACAAAACTGATTATTACAGTTGTTACAAACTTAAACTGCTCATTGCACTATATGAGCATAAAGTATTAAAAATGTGTCTTTCTGTGTTTTCATGTAGCAAAATTTTCTATGTGCTCCTTTTTGGACATGGTATTTCTACCAGTTAAAACTGCTGCTTCAAATTATGTGATAATTTAGCTCAAGGCCATAATCAGCTCAGATGACCAAACTTAAAAAATACTGCTCTAACATCAGAGACCTTGAAGAATGCTCTAATAGGATTAAAATGTCTTGCAAAGAATTATTACATGAATAGCTCCAGAAATCTTAATTTACAAAAGGTCACAGAGTTACAAAAAACATCTCTCATTTCGACTAATTAAATGAAATTTTAGTTAAACGGCACCTTTAAGTATTGGTATTGCAGCTGCAAGTGAATTTAAATAGCATTTACACAGATATAATTAGCACAATTAAACATGGGTAGAAGTAGAAACACCATTCTTAATTATATTGATATAATCAGATTTATTAATGCTTTATAGCAACAAAAGTGACACCTGACAGTGGCACACAATTCATGACTGAACCTAATATTAAGCATTTTAGCATATTAAGGAATCTAAAGCTAGGTAATTTGAGACAGAAAGAAAGAAGTCAAATAATGAATTCCTACCTGTGACGATACCATAGTTGGGAGGTTCGAGAATTACTCCATAAAACTGGATGATGTTTCTATGACTCAATACACTGAGTATCTCTGCCTGTACAAAAATCAAATGCAAAATTGCATAAAATTTCACATTTATAATAATCTAATAAAATGCACACCATATTCAATTTTATTTTCCTTACATTAACAAAGATATACATATATAATCAACAAGTATGTGATGCTGAAAAGACTGTCTTTAGCAACACAGTTGAAAGTTTAAGTAAACTGCTGTTGAATCTTTATGAAAATTTACAAAGAACATGAGATTGACAAGGCAACAAAAGAGGCAGGTGGCTAGCAAGTCCACATGACTGGTATTGGAGAAGGGTGACTGAAGTGGTGAGATACCATATTTATAGTAAAAGCCCTTTTCCTGATAACCAAATATACTTTTCTGCATAATACTCTCTTTGAGAAGCTCCAGCAAGTCTGAACTTCTGTCATTTGGATGAGTCAAAATTAAGGTAGAGGTTTAAAATATTTCTTAATAGATTCAGATAATACCCATTTGTATTATTTATCTAATAATTCACTCAAAATATATTACTGCTGCCTTTTATGCAAGGCACTATAAACATATGAAGATGGGTTATTGACCTTCATTGGTGATCTGAGAGGACTTGCACACTCTGAAAGGTATTAATACTAGAAAACTGTACTGGAGTGGCATAGCAAAAAAAGTTATATTTATTAAACCCAATTTTTAAAATGGAAAAAACCAAACACTACAGTCTATAGGATACTCTAGATAAATCACATATATTAATTAAAATTTTATTCATCTTATGGAGATAAAATGACTAATCAAGAATTATAAATACAAAGAGGTTTTAAAATCATGTGAATTAAATATAGAAAAGATTTAAATCTTTTAAGTGAAAAGTATATTACTGGCAATAAAAAGTAGATTTTAAGCCTCCTACCCCAGAAAAGGCATCATCCAGAAGAACGTCAGCAATTAATGGAGAAGCCAGGGTCAGAAAGAGGACTCTCCTCTGGGAATGTGCACACTATGAATTAGTGTTATTTGCTGTACATTTTTTTCATAGGGTGAGGGTTGAGATTTCATTAAAAACACATTCTGTGAAACTAGTTTTGAAGGTGATGTAACTAGATAGGAAACAGAGATCTGAGGGTTGGCAGGGGGCTAATGCAGATTCAAGAAAAAGGAAAATCATCACTGATTAGAGGAGACACTTACAAGGGTTAATTTGACAGTGTTTTACTCCTAGTAAAAGAGGTGCTGAAGGGGGCTATCATTGCTTAGCCAAATGATTCCTTAACACCCTCTGAGTGCTATCACTTGCAGAGGCTCTGCGTTCACCAGGCAACCTTCTTCTCATAGTTCACGTTCCCAAGTAAGAAGGGTAGGCATTAATTAGCCAACACAACCATTCATCTGACGGTAATTCTAATTCTCATCATGAAATAATAAAGGAACATTATTATAAAAATAAAAGTTTATGTGAAGTTTGGAAATCACAAGTTGCCCTATTTTTTAAGTGTCAGAACAACTCTGAATAAAGCAGTAGAGTTCTACATGAGTAAAGCAGGCAAGTTAATGTTGCACCAGTATTTGTCAAACGGGGAAGAGTATTATCTTTCAGTATAATCTTTAGGGTATCTGAATTTTGTGCCCATTAAAATATTGTATCAACAAATATTATATCAATAAAATATTATATCAATAAAGAATAAATGTAGGAATATCTGAATCCTTGGATGACCACTTTATACATTATCATGATGGAATTTTCAATGTTCCCAACAGTTTTCATGTTTACACTGACAACATTGCCAAGTGATACCTTGAGGATTTATCTTTTTAGGAGTTGGTTAGCATGTTTAACAGCTCTTGGGCAGGCACATGCACATGTCAAAATAACAACCAACATCCTGCATCCCATTGTTGTGCTCATACTTTAATCTTTTACAGTTATTAAGGCAAAATTACTCTTTTGCAAGGTAAGACATTTTCCTGGAATAAGACTTTAAATTCTTATTTAATAAACTAGGAATCTGATTTAACAACATAATTTTAGAGAGCTGTACTAGTTTCATGGTAATGGGCTATTAAAAAACAGGCAGACTACAAGCTCCAGTAGAAGTAAGTGTGTGGTTAGATGAATAACTGAAACCTGTGTTGTAGCTGTTGGTATCTTATGGTGAGGGGGGTAGATTCTGTGGAGTTAGCTTTTATAGGCGTCAGCTTACAACAGCTCATTAATGAAACTGCTGCAGTAATTAAGCAATATGTAGTTTTTCATTAAATTTTTAAAAATTGTTTTCCAGATGTCCATTCTGGGACAATCTAGTGAATGGACTGCATGTCAAAATAGTACATTTTGACTGAAACTACAGACTAAAACTATAGATTGAAACCTCTACAAGCTGTAAACCAAATAAACCTTTCCTCCATTAACTTTGAGTGTCAGAAAAAAAAATAGTGCCTTTGATGTTTTATAATTAGTTCACTGTCAAAATGTATCTTTTTGGGCCGGGGATTTAGCTCAGTGGTTTCGCTGCTTGCTGTACAAGCACAAGGACCTGAGTTCAATCCCCGGTACCAAAAAATAAATAAATAAAATGTATCTTTTTATACTATTAAAATCAACATAAGCAATTCATTTTCAGTCAGCACAATTTGATGAAAAATGTTAATTTTAATGTACTGATTTTAGAATTTTAGTCTTATTTAACAGAAAAAATTTAATTTTATAGGCATATAAGAGTTATAAGGCGTTAAATCTTAGTTTCATGTTTGAGCATACTTAAGTTACACTGAACTAATTTTAGTCAACAAGTGAAATCAAGAACACTGCAAAAGGTTATTCTAGTGTCTCAAACACTTGTACCCAGTGTCCACACAGCATTGTTCAGAATGGTTAAAAAGGAGAAAAACCCAAGTGTATGTCCTCTGATAAGAGGATAAACCAACTTCGATATACAAATGCAAAGGAATATTATTTCAGCCATAAACAAATTAAGATGAATCTTGAAAGCCTTATGCTGACTAAAATAAACCAGAAACAAAAGGACAAATATTGTATGATTCCACTTATGTGAGGTATCTTGAATTCAGATTATATTTTAAAAAGCAGACTGCCAGGGGTTTGGCAGAGGAGGGAATGGGGAGTTATTGCTTAAGGGTTACAAAGTTTCTGTTTGGGATTATGAAAAATCTGAAAACAGATGATAATGATAGTTATACAACACTGTGAATATAATTAAAACCACTTAATTATACAGTTAAATGTTGTTAAAATGGCAAAGTTTATGCTATATATATTTTACCACAGTAACCAAGTTTAAAAGATGCTATTCTAGACTTCTGCAGAGATGAATGATCAGTCTGTTACAGCTTGTATCTAGATCTCCCCCCAAAGCCCATGTGCTCATAGGTGGGGGTTTTTGGAGCTGGCTGGATATAGGGTGTGTGATATTGGGATTAAGGGTGTGTGGTACTAAATTAGTTCACTGATTGGAATTAGCACAGTTCTGGGTGGCACCATCCAAAAGGCTGTTAGCCTGGATGGGATAAAAAGGAAAAGCAGGCTTGCTGCTGTTTGCTGCATTCTGCCTGCTATGCCATGAGCTGTTTCTCTGCCATACCCCTCTGCTATGCTGCCCTGTCTTGGAATCAGTTGACTATGGACTGAAACCTCTGCAAACTGTGAGCCAAAATAAACCTTTCCCCGTTTAACTTGTGGGTGTTGGGTATTCTGTCTCAGCAACAAGAAAAGTAACAGAGTCTATATTCAATAATCATCCTAAAGTTATACATGGTAGGACCTAAATATCCTTGAGATAAATACATAATTTTCTAGTTTAGGACTGGAGGGTCTAAGGTGGGGATGGAACAGAATGTAACAATTTTAACTCAAGATCTAAATGCTCCATAAAACAAGGGTCTCATTCTGATATATAAATGGAGTAGCCAAAAATCTATCTATAAAAATGTCTAAGAAGAATGTTCTTAACAGAGTATAAAAATGTCTATATAATGTGTTTGCATTGAAATATGTGTCTGCTCTTACTGTTTAAGGCTGAGGCCAGTTGCTTCTGCCCTTCTCTCTCTTTCCTTTCATCTTTCTTAATAGCAAAAATTACAGTCATTTTAGTTTGTTTATAATGTGGACAGGAGGTGGATATTTTGATGTTAGTTTTATTTTATCTGGCATTTCTATGAGTTTGTATGGGGAGATGAGCCATCAGCTCAGTTTGCTATGCTTCCAGAAGCTGACGAGCACACAAGTTCCAAATAACTGATTCCACTAGAGATATTAAAGAAGCTAAAAATGTCACAGTTTTAATTTTCTTCCTTTAAAGTACGTCCAACAGTTTAAAATATGATTTGGAGTCAGTTTTTCCATCTTTTGAGTGATTCCTCTTAATTAAAAACTTTTTTCAACTAATCCCCAATTTAAACCTATTTCTTTAATTTTGGAAAGCTGCTATAGAAGTCTTAGGTTCTCCCTCTAGAGCATATATATATATATATATATATATATATATACAGTTTATAAGTATTTATGTGTGATAAATATATTAAAAATAAAATTGAATTCACTTATTTTTGTGAAATAAAGCAAAGATACTGGTAGCAGCCTGCTGATGGTCCCAGAATGAAGACTATAGTGTAGGAAGCCCCACTTCTGGGGCAGGCCCCCTTCTATCCTGCATGCTCCAGGGGTTCACTAGCTACCACCCTCTAACGAGGAGCAGCCTTGTGTCTCAGTGGGGTCTCTGCTTCCACTTGTGAAGTGGCACGTTGACACAGGGTTCGCCTCTAATGCCTGTGAATGTCAAATCCTCCTCCTTGTCCATGGGTCTATGTGGTATTTAAATGCGTTACTCTACTGCCCCTGACTTCTGAGGTCCTCACCAATTCTCAGATTCTATGATTCCATTAGAACATGATAGTAAGAGGAAGAAATCATTCAGCTGACAGTCTCCTCACTGCAACTATACCCAAGCTCAAAGGTCTCTCCAAAGACAGTTCTATCTCCAATATCCAATATGGTACCAGGTCACTTTATTCCGCAAAGC